TGCTGTGAGGATATGTGATTGCTTTTAAATGGTGTTGTTTGTTTGCCACACCCTTTGGGAGGAAGAACAGGATAGAAAGAGAATGAAAGAAATAAGCAAACAACCAACTGCTTTTACACACAGATGCCATATCTTATATGACTAGTTATATATCATGGTTGCTTCCCAGCCACAAATATTTGGGTGATTATGGAGCATTTTAAATAGAGTTGCATACATATGTATATACACACACATATGATATATATATATATATATATTTATATATATATATATAGTGTATAAAATTACAAATACACACAAAAACTGCAATGGCTAACATAATCTTCTGTATGTGAGTGAAAGGGAATCCTTTTTTACTTTGCCACAGCTTTACCAACTCACTAAACAACAAAACTGTGAGCTATTTGTAGCGTGTAAGAGTGAAGGGACTTCTACCTCATTAGGAACTGGGATCAGGCATATGAAAAGCATTTTTTTTACACAAGGTCTTTTTTGTTTAACTTTTGCTTAACTCTCTACTCAGCCCCATATTTGACTATTCTGCTTCTTCTTTTGCATTTGGGCACTTGTGCAACATGCTTGCCCAAACATGAATTACAAGGTTTTAAAACATTTGGTTGTTGTTCAGTACACAAATATTAGCTTTGCATTCCATTTTGGAAGGAGGCAGAACAATTGTCTTCGGATATAAATACAGTAGGAATTTCAACATATATTTGAAATAAAAGGCGCTGCTTCAACTATGTAGACAAATTTCCATATTGCTTGATGTACTTGTGATTAGTCATATAGTGGATATCAGAGAATCAATCAAATCAAAAGATGGATAGCCTCCAAGCTTCATATGAATACTAAACACCAGAAAACCCATCCAGTTGAAGCAAAACTGTTTTTGACTGCAATTGATTTAGACAGGACTATGAAGAATAAAGTAGATGAAGGAAGACACTGCATGTCACATGTCATAAACCATTTAAGGCAGCATTCCTAGACTTTACAAGACTTGTTTTCCTTGGACCAAAATCACTGGGATGCATGGTTATCTAGGGAGAATACTTGGATGCCATTTAAGTTTTTAAAATAAAGTTTAGTAAGTTTTCATTCCAATTCAGAAATAAACTGGAAGAGAAGCAAGGGCTATTGGTTCAGTGAAAAGCAAAAACAAGTATTTAGTCTGGTCATGAAATCAGAAAGGACACAGAATGTGGGTGACAGACAAATATAGTCAAGGCACACAAATATCTATCCAGGAAAACGTCTTATTCAGGTTATAGTCCCTATACTTTAAAGAAAACACTCAAAATTGGTACATATATGAACAAATCATATTGCAGTCTTAGAAAGAAATCTACTTTTGGCCAGGCTTTCCACATTATAATGGACATTGAAAAGTTTGGTTGGTTCTTAACAACTATTTGCTTTCCTTCTGTTCACACAGCCTGCAGCAAAGCACCATTGCTCTAACACACATTATGACAGCCAACAATGAATTTCATTATCGACTCTCTTCAAAGACACTGCTGTTGACAGATGTTACAAAGTTGGCATTTGAAAAATCAGGAAAACTGCCTTGACACTTATTCCTCTTTGAAGGGCCTGAATTATCTTGGGACCGCCCATCTTCACCTTTTCATTGCTGATGCCACCTCATCATCTATTTAATCAACTCCCTGCCCCCTCCTCACTTCCAAATAACTGAATTGTTTTATTTCACAAGTTACTCCAACATCTGGTACAACTAGCCTGAAGTCTGAGCTTGTCCAGCTAAGAAGTGCTTGGTGTTATCTGCTTATAATACTACAATTGCAGAAAAAATGTCATTTTCTCAAAAGACTTGAATGGTGACGAAAATGTATTTAAGGTGCTCAACACTACAATATCAATGGGACATGCTTTTAGTAGAATCCACTCCATGTACCGTATACTAAGAAATAAAGCATTTTGAGTTCAATAGCAGACACAGTCCAATTGTTCCTATTTACCAGGAATATTTCCTATTTTCTGAGACTTACCAATACAAATCTGATCTATTCCAGTACAACTTTTAATGGAAAATCCTTAAAATGCCATGTGGAATCTCACATTTTAAGAACAACAATAATAATAAAGGTACTTATGAAGTGGTCCAAGGGCAGTAGCGTTTTTTCCAAGCACTATACACAGAAAAACATAGACTTGGGAACCAAGTCAATGCATTCACCTTTCATTCACTCTTCATGCCTAGCCAAATAGGAAATGTTGCTGAATGTGTTTTAACTGTAGCTATTCCTTAATTAGAACCAGAGCCAGATCCACTGTGAGAGTAAATATTTCACTAAAACACCAGCCTCACTCCAGGATACTCTAAAGAGCTCAAGGAGGCTAACAGCCCCCCCTTCTTTTCCATATTTCAGCTGGTGCTCAAGGCGTCTGGTCTCTGAATTCTGGAGGCCACCGAATATGCTCAGACATCATCACAGCTGGGATGGGGGGCAGGTTACACTTTTTAGAATTTAGACATTTTGTAATTCTTACTTCTGCACCCCTCAAGATTCACCAGAGCATCCTATTTTCCACTTGTTCCTCAATAGCCCTGTTTGGACCTGCAGCAAAACATGGCAGTGTTTTTCAACTCCAAGCACAAGAGCTGCTGTTCAGAGTTCCTGCTTGCCCCCTGGATGTTCCCAGGTTACAACCATCATCCTTCACCATACTGCTGATGAGAACTGGAAGTTAAACAACATCTGGAGGGCCACACCACTGCCACGAGGTATAAGACTTGAAGAAGGCAATTCCATTTCCACCTATGCATTTTTTTTCTCCAGTTGACGTGTAACTGTTCCATGACTGTTGAGCATATTACTCAACAGCACATTGAGTTGTTGTTTTCTTTGGGGGGTGGGGGTGGGTGGGTTGTTTCATTTTTGCTCTTCTGCAAACCTCAGAATATTCCAGAATATGCTGAAACCACCTCTTCGTTCCTCAGCTGTTCTGTTTTGACTCCATTTTTTTCATTGCCTGAATTTGCTAATCGAGGAAGTTACAATACTTTGGAACTAGTTGTTCAGTTTATTAAAGGTACAATTAGGTGAGACAATGCAAGGTTTCTCGCCTTTTATTTTAAAAACTATGGGACAGGGTGGAAAGTGTGTATGGCAACTGTGTTTCCCCAATATGCTAAATAGAAGCTTCAAGGGGACTTTAAAAATGTTTTTAAAAATTGTGCCATTAACACTGCTTACTCCAAATCCAATTGAGAGCTAATAAATTCTGTCTTGTTTCATCCAAACCCACCCTGCTTCAGAAAACATGTGTAGTGTATAAAAACACAATTTTTGTTTGGGGCATCTCCCATTATTTGTATTTTATACTTCTTTTCCAGCTTTAATATACCTAGTTCTTATATAAAGGACCAACCTTGGGATGGTCTGAAAGTACAGTAGCCCACCCAACAGCAAACCACGAGGCAGGCGTTTTGGCAAAAGTAAGGATTTGTGATTTAATAAACCATGTTTCAAAATCCTAATAGAGGCTTGGTGCCTTTACAAAGCACGCAACAGCCTGAAATTTAAGAGGGACCTGGGGATGTAGTGACAGAGGATTGACTATATTCAGCTGTTGTAAGAGGGACAGAGCCTGAGTCATAAAGAAATGTACTTAGCAGAAGTAGTACAGTTGTTCAAATGCATATTGTGGGGGGGGGGGGGGACACTCTGTACATACTTTACCCTTGGGCTGATTTATCACAAAGCATGCAATGCACACTATCTGCTGCACATGTTTAATTATATCACAGCCACCCTACCTGCTGATTCAATGCACCCCTGGTTCTCTTAACACCCAGTGGCAACCAAATTACCTTTCTCTAGCCACTCTGTATTTGGATGGGGTACAAAAACAACTCCTCAATTAATACATATGTTCCTCACCAGCACTAGGAAATACAGTTTTTCGATGTGGCTGGGTTGTGTTGTTTTTTTTAACCTACTCCCACTGTCCGAATCGCTGGGTACTTATTTTATGAAAACCGACTCTCCTTACAGCTGTCTTAAAGGGCTTTTAGGCTTTTGCAGTTTCACACTGAATGCCTCTCCCTCCCTCAAGTTTGGGAGAGGGACGACGAGATGGCAGTCTTCGAAAACTGGTCGGGGGAAAGGACCATCAATACCTTTAGAAGAAGAGGAAAGAAGCTGCCATCTATGCACGACAGTCTGGGAACAACATCCCCTTGAGACCAGGGGGAAACCAAACGCAAGCAAACAAAGCAGCTGGGGAGCAGTTCGCCCCGAAAAAGCCTGCCACCTCCGGCGCTGGGTCGCCGAAACCATCCCAGCCCATCTCGCCATATTGGCGACTCCAAGGGGGTCGCGTGTCGTTCACACAAACAGACACCTTGTGCCACCAGCTTTTGACAGGGAGCGGGGAACCAAGCCAGGCTCGCCCACCTCAGCTTCCTTCCCTTTTCCCGCAGCTCCCGCCACGTAGAAATGAACGAAAGGGGCGCGCGCGCACACACACACACACAAAAAACATGCGCGCGCTCCGCTTCTTCCCCTCAGGAGCGACGGTTTCTCTCCCCACCCCGCTCTCAGCCAGCGCCCAGTTGCCTGCGCGCGCATCTCCCCCCACGCCCTCGCGCTCACCCGACACTAACCGCGTCCCCCTCGAAGCGCGTCTGCGCGCGCGCGGCCGCGAACATTTCGCTGACGTAGCCCGAAGACGCAACCCGCTCCCGCGCTTTGGGCTGGACGGCGCAGCGGCGCCACCTGGCGACCGTCTCCCTTTCTTCCACGCTCCCGTTCCGCCCGTCTTTCCCGCGCACGCGCCCTCCTGTGGGAAGGCGGCGGCGGCGGCCCAGAAACAGCGTTACGTACTGGGGAGAGCGCGCGCACGCCGGCGCCTCGCGGTCACGTGAGGGAGGCAGGGCCGCGGCTCTCGGAGGGGCGGCGGGAAGAGGTGGTTGTCTGCGGGGTTCGATGGACGTCTCTTAAGCGGGAGTTGCTAAATAGAAGCGTTGGGTCCGCGACTCTGTGGCGCAGTGGGTCAGCGCGCCTGGCTGTTGATCAGAAGCATGGTGGTTCAAGCCCACCTTGGGACGGCTGATGGCAAGATTCGTGTATTGCAGGGGGTCGGACTAGATGGCACCACGGGGTCCTTCCCTTCTCTACGATTCTATGAAAGTAAAAGAGGTGTTGAAGGTCCTGAGCTGGTGTGATGGGCTAGGAGGGAGCGCGAAATGTATAAACCCGTTCGGTTTGGGAAAGTAAAGAGAGAGGGATCTTAAAAAATTTAACTTGGCAGCGAGCCCCGATTAAATCCTGTGGTCCTGTAAATCTGCCCTGGGATCGACGGGTGAAGAGCGACATATTAAATAAATAAATAAATAAATAAGTAAAGGTAAAGGTACCCCTGACCAACAGGTCCAGTCGTGACCGACTCTGGGGTTGCGCGCTCATCTCACTCAAGAGGCCGGGAGCCAGCGCTTGTCCGAAGACAGCTTCCGGGTCATGTGGCCAGCGTGACTAAGCTGCAGCTTAGCTGCACACGGAAACGCCATTTACCTTCCCGCTGGAGAGCGGTCCCTATTTATCTACTCGCACTTTGAGGTGCTTTCGAACTGCTAGGTGGCCAGGAGCAGGGACCGAGCAACGGGAGCTCACCCCGTCGCGGGGATTCGAACCGCCGACCTTTCGATCAGCAAGTCCTAGGCTCTGTGGTTTAACCCACAGCACCACCCACGTCCCCCAAATAAATAAATACTAGCAATAAAACACTTCAGAGGGATGTGGCTAGCAAGGTCAGAAGAAGGAAGAAGCAGAATCATTTGAAAGAATACAGTGTGGCAGCAACTGCGCTTTGGAACTTCCTGCCTATTGATGCCAAGTAGGCACCTTCACTACACTTTTGGGTGCCTGCTAAAAGCAATTTTGTTCAGACAAGCCCACCCAGATGCTTAGGAAGTTGAGGTCATTTTAATCTGTTTTAGTTTTCTCGGATTTTATTGTTTTAGCTTGTAAAACGCTTTTGAGGTTTTTTGGGTTGTTTTCCAATCAAACAGTGTATTAAATTTTACGAAATAAATTTTAAAAACACTTGCTCTACGTGGGGCTCACTCTACGTGGGGCTGCCCTTGAGACTGACCCAGAAACTCCAGCGGGTGCAGAATGCTGCAGCGAGACTCCTTACGGGGTCTTCGCTGCGAGATCACATTCACCCGGTGCTATACCAGCTGCACTGGCTCCTGGTGGTGTACAGGATCAGGTTTAAGGTGCTGGTTTTAACCTTTAAAGCCCTATACGGCCTAGGACCCTCGTACCTACGGGACCACCTCTCCTGTATGCCCCACAGAGAAACTTACGGTCTTCAAATAAAAACATCCTGAAGGTCCCAGGCCACAGAGAAGTTAGGCTGGCCTCAACTAGAGCCAGGGCTTTTTCGGCTGTGGCTCCGATCTGGTGGAACACTCTGTCACAAGAGACCAGGGCCCTACGGGACTTGACATCTTTCCGCAGGGCCTGCAAGACAGAGCTGTTCCACCAGGCCTTTGGCCAGGGCACAGCCTGACTCCCTCCCTCGGCAATCTTTGCGGAGCTCTGGCCCAATGGTTGCCAGTGGCTTGAATTAATTAATTTTATAATGAATGATTTTAGAGTGTTGTTTATGCTGTACTTTTGTACTGTTTTATTGTTGTTAGCTGCCCTGAGCCCGGCTTCGGCTGGGGAGGGCGGGATATAAATAAAATTATTATTATTATTATTATTATTATTATTATTATTAAAAAGAGTGCTTTGGGGGCTTGAGGAATAGCTTGCTGAGGAGGAAAATAACAGCTTTGGAATTGCTAAGAGCCCAGCAGGATCTGAACAAAAACCCATCTAGCCCAGCATCCTGGTTTCTAAAGTGACCCACAAGATGCTCCTCAGAAGCTTGCAAGCATGTCATAAAGTCAGGTTTTTTCCTGCTTTTCAGCAACAGGTATTCAGTGACACAGGACACGGAGATCTGCCTATCAAGGCTTTTTGCCATTTATATGCCTATTAACCATGAACATCATTGCTTTTAGAGCCAACCCAGGTAATGGCAGCTAATTCAGAAAATTAATTATGTGTCATGTGAAGAAGTACTTACCTAGTTTTCTCTGCTCTGAAATCTACCATCCAGTTTCACTGGCTGATTTATCATTAGGTGTATAGATTTGGGATTGTCTCACCAAGAAATATATTACTGCTGTGACCTGGCATAGGAAAGAGTGGTATATGCAACAGCAATGTCCTCAAATTTCATCCCAATATTGGAAGGTCTAGCATTGTTAGGCAGTTTGGAAAGGTGAATGAAATTACTTTATTTAGGAAATTGACCTCTGTGTTCTGCAGATCAGTTGCTCTCATAATTAAATAACACACAATTCGGTGCTACTTATGCTGTGGAGGGTAAGAAGGTCGATAATGTGCACTGGGGCTGGCTTAAGAGAGGTTCTTTTGCTCATTCTGCATCACAAACCTTTTGTTCAAGTCATACTTTGCAAGATAGAACAGGGAAGTGTTACACAGTGGTTCCTGTGAGCTTTTTGAGTACAGTAGTAGATTCCTTGAGACTCTAGGATTTACTGAAGTCAGGAGTTAATTATCCAGTAGGTGGCAGTGACAGAGTCTGTGCTGGCTCTGCTACACCATTAAATAGATATTAGATGTATCTTGGTGCAGGGAAGAGTCAATGCAGGGGAAATGATTTCATCTGCAATGCTCATCTATAAGGGCAACATGAATAGACTGAAGAAGTTGCATTTCTCTTCAGCTTGGTTTTTGGGGAACAAGATTATATCCTTGGTACACTTTCTGTTGTTGAACTCTGACTGGCTGGGGTGGGGGGAACATGTAAAAGGTAAAGGTACCCCTGACCGTTAGGTCCAGTTGCAGACGACTCTGGAGTTGCGGCGCTCACCTTGCTCTATGGGCCAAGGGAGCTGGCGTTTGTCTGCAGACAGCTTCCGGGTCACGTGGCCAGCATGACTAAGCCGCTTCTGGCGAACCAGAGCAGCGCATGGAAACGCCGTTTACCTTCCCTCCGGAGCAGTACCTATTTATCTACTTGCACTTGACGTGCTTTCAAACTGCTAGGTGGGCAGGAGCTGGGACAGAACAACAGGAGCTCACCCCGTCACGGGGATTCGAACTGCCGACCTTCCGATTGGCAAGCCCTAGGCTCTGGTTTAGACCACAGCGCCACCCGTGTCCCTTTTGGGGGGAACATGTAGTAGGGGCTAAATGAAATCACCTAAAGTTACAACAACAATAAGTTTGGCACAAGGAACACTAAGAGCAAAATGTCTGTTGTGATTTCAGTTTTCTCTATCCCTTTCTTTGCAAAAGCCCTAAACAAATAGTTGACTTAGGAGTAATAGCTGAATCCTGATGGACCCATGCTTGGGTTTTGTGCTACACGAATCTATGACAGGTACAATGCAGTTCACCTACATACAAGGTGGTTTGTTTGCAGCATTTGATTAAAAAACCGTCAGAACCAATTTAGAGTAAATCTAACAAACACTTCACATGATGCCTGCCAAAGTGCCCAATTCTATGCAACAGACAATTTTGTAGTAACTATTTTGTTAATGGCTTGGCACTAAAATTATTTAGCTTGAAGGAAAAGGGGTTGTCAGGGACACTTGAAGCACAGAATTTTTTAGGTCCTCATGAAAAACCACCATCATTTTAGGGTGAATTTATTCTAATACACACATGTCTGTGTGCAATCTCCCTTAATATATGCACTTTTATTCTATCTGTATTTTTCTGCACACTTTATCCAGTATATGCTTTACTCAGCTGGAGCACTGCACTGCGAAATTCAGATAAGTGTGAATTTCAAAGGATAGCTGCGTTTTGGTTCTCATGTGGATTTGGTAGATCCACTTTAAATGCGAACTGATTCAGATTTCTCCATCATACCTAGGTGGAGGTGCATCCAGCCCAGAACAGTACTGCCAGCCTCTGCCTGTAAAGTCCTGCTAATGCCACACCACTAGCATGGGGTCCATATTTTGCCTGTGTGGGCCAGCAGAAGTGCAGTTGATGGACTGTCCCAAACTGAGCTAGTCCCACCCTTGTCATCTGATGACATCAGGCCCAACTGCTAAGTCAGCTCTAGGCTGGTATAACTGCAGGCTGTTGCCTGCCCACCCCAGCTGGTTCCACCCCAGCTGGTGAATGCAGTGGTGGCTTAGCCCCTGAATGCACCCTACTGTTGCTTAATCGGGATTTGTATTTGTCTGCCAATCAGGAAGCACAGAATAAAGCATTACAACTGTCTATGTCACCTTGCCTTTCTATCTTATATAATTTTCTGAGCATGTCTCTTCAGGTGGTTGTTAAATGATTCCAGTTTATTATTGATGCACTGTAACTCTTTTTAGCTTAAGCCCCTTTTCCTGTAAAGCAGTTAGATGAATAACGTTCGTAATAAATACTGGCATATTTACAGAAACAAGGCAGTAAACATAGTGTCTCTAAGCAATAACATAGCCCAGCTACTATGTGAACCTAGTTCAAAATTCTATATCTAGAAGATATCACAACTAGAGTCCTGATGGATTCAGTCCTTAATTCTGTTCCCCTAAAGCAGTGATGGCCAAACTTGGCCTTCCAGCTGTTTTGGGACTACAACTCTCATCATCCCTAGCTAACAGGACCAGTAGTCAGGGATTATGGGAACTGTTGTCCCAAAACAGCTGGAGGGCCAAGTTTGGTCATCGCTGCCCTAAAGGGTGACCAGATGTGTATGGGAAACCCACAAGCAATAGCCCTCTGCCACAGTTGTTCTGCAGTGACTAGCATTCAGAGACATACAGTGGTGCCTCGCAAGACGAAAAGAATCTGTTCCGCGAGTCTCTTCGTCTTGCGGGTTTTTTCGTCTTGCGAAGCAAGCCCATTAGCGGTTTAGCGGATTAGCGCTACAGTATTAGCGGCTTAGCGGGCTTAGCGGATCAGCTGATAAGCGGCTTAGCGATCAGCTGTTAAGCGGCTTAAAGATCAGCTGATAAGCAGCTTAACGATCAGCTGATAAGCGGTTTAGCGGCTTGGGAAAAAGGGGGGAAAAAGAAAAAAAACCCCGCAGGAACTCGCAAGACATTTTCGTCTTGCGAAGCAAGCACATAGGAAATTCGTTTTGCGAAGCACCTCCAAAACGGAAAACCCTTTCGTCTAGCGGGTTTTCCGTCTTGCGAGGCATTCGTCTTGCGGGGCAGCACTGTATTGCTTCTGCTGATGGAGTAATGGATGATAGTCAACTAAGTTTTACTTTCAGTAACCTGATTAAAATTAATGGACCTAACTAGGCATGCTCATTAATTTCACTGGGTCTGTTCTGAGTAAAACTTAGTTGAATACTAGCTTGGGTTACTGCAACTAACTCTATGTGGGGCTGCCTTTGAAAAGTTATGAAAAACGTCGACTGGCACTAAAAGCTGCAGCCACATTGTTGACTGGGGTTGGTTATAGGGAGCATACGGCTTCCCTATTATGGCAGCTCCACTGGCTACCAGTCTGTTTCCAGACAAAATTCAAAGTGCTGGCTATGACCTATAAAGCCCTGCGTGGCTTAGGTCCAAGCTACCAGAAATACCATGTTCCCTCATATGAACCTGCCCAATTTCTGAGGTCTTCGGGGCGGGGGGAATTCTCTCAGTCCTGCCACCCTCAAAGGCACGCTTGGTGGGGACATGGAGAGACGGCCTTCTCAGTGGCTGCTCCCAGATTTTGGAACTCCCTAGAGAAGTTAGACTGGCTCCGTTTGCTGTCCTTCCACTGACAGGCAAAAATCAAAACAGTGTTGGACAGCTGGTGTATGCTCTTAATGTAAACCCTTTTAGGGGGTAAAAATAAACATTTAATTTTTGGGGGGGACGGGGACAGAATAGTTATTGGATACCAGAAGGAGCACGACACTACTGACTTGCAGTTCACGTGGACCAAGAACGAAAAGTGAAGCAATATCTCCTGTTGATAAACTCTCCTTATTTGTTCATCTTGTACAAGGGATATCCTGTTTGCAGCATACTCGTTTATGTTTGGTATGCTGGCGATAAGCATCAAGGTCATCACTTAGCATGTCCTTTTGGACAAGGCTTTAAAAAATTTTCCGAAGGAGTTGCAGAGCTTTTAAGCCCCCACCATCCCACTCAAAATACAGGGACTGGGGGTGGGGGTGGGGAACAAACTTGTTTTTGTAACTGGTTAAAAGAGATTTTAACTATTCCGGCAGTGTGGTAGAATTACTGATATAGGAAAATTAAGCTCATTTATCCTAAACACTGTACTTTTAATTGCATTATATTGTAGCTCATGTAATATAGAAAATACAAAGTTTGATAACATCGTAGAAACTAACTTGCCCATTGCATGATAAACTCTCATAGGCAACTTCATGTACAGTGCAGTTACCTCTATATGTTAACTCCCCTTCATCTCCTTCTGTGATCTACTAGTCTTCTACTTGCAGAATCATCTTTAGCATTAAAAAGAATGCTGTAAAAGAGGATTAGACAAATCTGCAGAGGACTGGGTTATTAGTGGCTACTAACTGCAGTGGTGGCTATATTCTGTTTTCGCTGTCAGGGTCAATGTGCCTCTGAATAACAGTTGTGTCCTTGCAAACATGTCTTAGTCAGCCTGGATAGCTCAGCTGGTTAGAGTGTGGCGCTGATAACGCCAAGGTTGCTGGTTTGATCCCTGTATAGGACAGCTGTGTGTTCCTGCATTGCAGGGGGGTTGGACTAGTTGATCCTCAGGGTCCCTTCCAATTCTATGATCCATCTTGCAGGCTTCCCACAGACATCTTGTCGGCCACTATGAGAACAAGGTGAGTGGACTAGATAGGCCATTCACCTGATCTACCTGGCTAGTCTAATGTTTCTATGTAATATTTTGCTTCATAGGCAAATAATAGTGCTCTATGCTAATCATATTTAGGAGACGCTTCAGAGTCTAAAAAAGAAAAAGGGGACCGATTTAGTTTCAGCAAGGGGACCCAGTGATGGAGCTTCATGCTCCGGCACCAGGGGAGGGGGCGGAAAGCAGTTGGGGGCAGGGCTAGCGCACGTCCCGGGGGCATGGTGCGCGGTGCACTGCCTGCAGGGGCGTGGCACGCTGCCTGTGGAGGCGTGGTGCCCAGCACAGGTGGGGCAGGGGCAGCTGCGATGGCACCCCACCAGGATCGTGCTGCCAGGGGCGGTGCGCTCCCCCCGCACTCCTCTTTCTCCGCCAGTGAGGGGATCCCTTCACCTAACCTACAGGGTTTTTTTGTTCATTTGTTTATGTATGTATGATGAGTATATTCCACTTATATAACAAAGTTCTCTGAGCATGTCCTATGAACCTAATGAAAATAAGTTCCAAAATCGCTCGCCATGGTGAGCTGGTGTCATTAGTCACTGGGTGAAGGGAGGAGCAGACTAGATCTGTCCAGAACTTTGTGTAACAGAAGAGTGTTTAGCATAGCTACTGGCTGTATGTGTAAACAATGGAAATCACATTTTTGCCACTGCATAACTTGTTGACTGGTTCTTTGAGAATGTGATTCATGTGTATAACTTTTATATGGCGTCAGAGCAGCATGAAGTTAAATATTTAAACATCCATCTGGGCAGTATTTGAAAACATTAGCCCACCTTTACGTACTTAATTTTATAATTTCAAGATGTGGAAAAATTCAGTTAAACAATTTAAATTTAATTCATAGGGTTCCCCCCTTCTTTTTTTTTTGTAATTTTTAAACTCTCCATTGGGACAGATTGCTTATTAACTCCACCCTAAGGCTACAGATTGTGCAATATAATTGCCTCCATGATCTCACCTTCTGTCATTCTTTACTACTTAACTGCATAACTGGACTGAAAAGTAACTGACTGTACTTTTTTAAAAAAAAGTTTGAAAAAGCAGCTTAGTCAGTTTAGATATTTGCCCCTGCATATGTGTTCTGGGGTTTTGCTGTTAGCAAAACAAACACCCTCAAATTGTGTACAGTGAAATAAATGTTGTCATGTGTGGGTAATGTAACCTAACTCCCAGTTGTCAGAAAATGTCAAATTTAAGAGAGTGCTTGAGCTAAGGCAGTTTGAAAATCACTCCCATCTAAAATACAGCTTTCTCTTCCTAGGTCAGAAAATATAAAATTATAGATGGGAGCTAAACACTGGAGGGTTCACTGCTTCTTATGCTAAGACTTTTCCTTATTCCTGGTTGGCAACTACTTTTCAACAGGGTCCATACTTGAACTGAGCAAGGACTGGAGGGCCAAAAACATTAGCACTGCCCCCCCAACTCATGCACAAGGTGTATCACAGACAAACAACATTTTAATCCTTTCTTCCCCTAGAATTACTATCAGCAGGGGCTTTGATGGTACTCTCCTGTTACACGTTACAGGAATCAGGAGCAGGAATTCAGACTGTGCTTCCCCATCATCACCATCTCTGCCTTATAGCATGAAATCATGTTGTCTTACCCGCCGATGCATTTTGCGCTCTTTCAGTTCCTTCTCTTTGGGATTGTTGCCAGCAATGACTGTGAAGACACCTTTATTACTGATGTGACCATCTCTGTTTTGTTTCGTCTGAGAAATGCACGTTTTGTGCAGGCTCTCCAAAGCTGTCCTGCGCTTTGGTAGCTCTGTGAAAACATCTTCGTCCTCCTCCTCCTCTTGATCTTCTGACAAAGAAGCTTCTATGTTTGTCACCTTGCCAATCTGAATTTTGGAGTTAATCCTGTGCCGTGAAGATCTTAAACGTGAACATGTGCAAGCATTTAACCTGTGTTTTAATTGAATGGTTTCAGGAGCTCTGCCCAGTTTCTTGTCAGAGTTTGGTCTAGGAAGAAACTGGAAAGGGGGCTGGGCTGGATCGTCTGTGGCTTTGTAATTTGAGGAATATAATAATTCTCCATCCAGCTGGTTTTCCTCAGGCTCTCCATCAACATACAGCTGGCCAATAACTTTGGTAAGTTCCAAGGATGTTTCACTGTATGTCAAGTGAAACATAAATGAAGGTCTTGGAGCTGTTTCCAGAAAACGACAATGGATCTCCCCTTCTATTTCTTCTTTTATCTCCTCTGAAGTCTCAAGTGGCTTGTCAGTTTTAGCAGGCCTAGAGTAAGACATCACCTCCTCCTGGTCGAATGGCTGCACTTCCGTTCCATCAAGTTTAATCCATCAGAGAAGGCCAAACTCCATTTCATTGCTAGACATCTTGTGAAACATTCCTTATGCAGTGAAGTCTTTCATTTATTTATTTGGAGCTACATTCTTTTAGTTACCTGGAGAAGCGCTGCGTGGACATTATCCAAGACTTCTTTGTTCCTGAAATTCAAAATACTACATTAGAAATGTTACTGCATGTAAGCTCAATCTTAAGATTCAAACCTTCAGGCTTCTTGGTAGACTTTGACCTTGTCATTCGTCCCCCACCAAAAAAGAGAGAAAAGAAATGATAAACAAAGATACATGTATGCTGTGATTCTTCAGAAGAACAGAATGTTGTTTAGAACACAGAATTTATCTTCCTGAGAATCTTAGTCTCTTTTGGGCAGTGCCCTATGAAGTGTTAGGCTGTATATACACCATACACATTTAAAGCACATGACTCCCCAAAGAATCCTGGGAACTGTAATTTGTTAAGGGTGATGGGAATTGTAGGTCTGTAAAGGATAAACTACAGTTCCCATGATTCTTTGGGGAAGTCATGTGCTTTAAATGCACGGTGAGTATGTAGCCGTAGACGGATGGGTGGCTGAATAAAGATGGCGCTAGATAATGGTTGGCTGAAGATGAAACATTTACAAGTTTCCCCTCCTCTTTTAAATGTGCAGCTACAGAGATGTCATGATTTCCCTCTGATGTCAGAACCAAGAAACTGTGGATTATATACTTCTTACAAGCCAGTATTAGAAACCACAGTATTATCCTGGTTTATTGCAATCCAGGTTTGTAGGAAGTGATTAAACCATAGTTTCCTAGACTGAGCATACTGGGGAAACTGTCGCTGAATAAGCCAGGAAGTTTCTGTAGTCAGGCACATGAGAAGGGAAGGGTTTGCTGGAGGAGGGATTTCTTAAGCTCATTGCTTGTCCCTGCTGCACCAAACCATAGTTTGTTGGACTGGGACTGGCCACTATGCTGTAAACGGTGTTTGCAACAGAAAGCACAATATATGGCCAATTAAGTGTCTTTAAATACCCTCATACACTCCTCAGGAACCGGACCTAGGATGGTTGTTTCACAACCCACAAAGCATGCAATCTCATGTTTTCTTAACTAAGATAAGCTTAAAGCTTCACTGAAAAAAGATCACAAAAAACTTGTTAAACCCAAAAAGCACAATGCAGTTATCATTGTCTATAAAAAGATAATATGGGGAAATGATTTTGGGTACAGACTTGTCTTCATTTTATTAAAATAATTCTTCCTTTGTAGCCATATTTAATTTAGGAAATATTTTTGACATAGCAAGTAGATCATACAAAATCACAGATTTCTGCAACTGGATGATTATGCGGCTGCACAAAAATACACAGACATTTATAAGAGCACCTAATTCCGTACATTGAGAATGGCATAAATTGAGGAGTAGAGCCAGTGAAATGAGTTGGACTTAAATTGATCTACAGTGACTATGACTAAGTCAAATAAAACCCAAAGTATTTTTAACTTACCACTCATTTTCTTATTATTCATCTGGTGGTGGAAAGCATATTTTTTGTTAATTATTACTTTATGGTTTCTGTAAAGATAATTGTTCTGACAACAGAATCAATGTGTATTGATTACCTGGTACACTTCAGTTGTCGTTTTGCCCTTAAAAGTAAGTACACATTAAGGATTGTTATTTTTTACTTAACCTTCATGCTTGAAGCGAAAGTTAAACCTGGCAGAAGAAACTGCAAATTAACTTTTAACAAATAAAGCTTGCTAGTTCCCACTCATCATTTGATAGTTACTTTTGATTTCTTAAAAATGTTTTTATTGCCCCGAAGCGAAATAAACACGTAGAGAAAAAACCCACAAACCAAGGGACTAGAAATAATGCATCTGTTATGGATAATTTTACCTGCTCTGTTCTGCAAGACAACCCCAAATTCAATTTTTTTCCATGAGTGCAATAGTAGGATTCAGCAGCTGAAAGATCTTCCAAATGTTGAGGCAGAACAGAAAGGGGCTATGAACAGATCCTTAACAAAAGGCATTTCAGATTGCTTGCTATACAGGAACTCTGTCAACAGAAGTATGTGTGAAAATCCCTGAGGCTAGAAACAGCCTTCTGCAAGCACTGGCCAAGTTATTCTGAGAAAGAAGACAGAAAAGAAGGGGGAAAGGGATGGGAAGCAAGCACGCTTGAAAGGAACAAAAAATCACTTCTAAAAATATAATTGTGACCTGATTCTTCATACTGTCAGGCCATTGCACGACTCCTTTTATCACTTGAAGCACCTGGAGTCAGTTTTCACACTGAATGCATCATTAATGTGTTTCTGTCAGGTTTTGGACGAATGGCTCGGAAATTTCTTTTCATGCAGCACTTTTTACATCTACTCGAACCAGATAAGAAACTAATGCAGTGGGGGGGGGGAGGACCCTTCCCCCCACAGACAAATAAAAATGGGAGCTGTGGACATGTTTTTGGTATTGTTTTTGTGGTGCTGACATCATCCAAGAAGCTGTGAATGGAAAAAGCATGCCGCCAGAATTGATTGTGGATATGATCCATAGATTACGCCCTTGAAATTGCACGGGCCTTGGAACTAGACCATAGCGGCCTATAATTAATTAGGAGTGGATGCTGGAAAATCTGCTGATTGGAATGAGCACCTTTAAATATTCCAGGGTGTTCATTGCTGATCCCTGGAGTCTCCTGGTTCTGCTGCTTCCCCCTCTAAGCATATTAAGCAGTAAGAAGACGAGAGAAGTGACTGGTTCAGCTATAATTCTAGAGACCTATGAAGTTGCCTTATACCAAGTCAAACCAGCAGTCCATCTATCTCAGTGCTGTCAGCACTGACTGGCAGCAGCTCTCCAGCCTGGTTTCCCAGTCCTACCTGGAGATGCCAGGAATTGAACCCGGGATCTTCTGTATGCAAAGCAGCTACTCAACCACTCAACCCTTCCCCAATTCTCTGCTTGGCTTGCACTCTCCCTCTGGGTGGCAGTGGAGTTTGGGATCAGACAGAAAGAGGGCAGGTGGCTGGGCAGTGGTGAGGTGGAGAGTAGGCCCATAAATGTCTCCCGGTGCAGGCATTTTGCTCGGTGGTTCCCCCAAATCTGGAGCCAGCACGAGACTTGTCTTTGTCTTTGCACAATGAAAGTCTTCACCCACATAAGACAAAATTTTCCATGTACTTGCTCTTGTCCCCATTTTGTGCTGCAGTGAAAAAGGCAACATACAGTGGTACCTCGGGTTAAGTACTTAATTCGTTCCGGAGGTCCGTTCTTAACCTAAAACTGTTCTTAACCTGAAGCACCAATTTAGCTAATGGGGCCTCCCGCTGCTGCCGCGCTGTCAAAGCACGATTTCTGTTCTCATCCTGAAGCAAAGTTCTTAACCCGAGGTACTATTTCTGGGTTAGCGGAGTCTGTAACCTGAAGCGTATGTAACCTGAAGCGTATGTAACCCGAGGTACCACTGTAGTTGCAAAAAAAAAACCCAACAACAACCGTCAGTTAAAGTAATAACTAGACCTGGCCTTTTTATGTTCTCTTCCGTATTTGGTGGTGTCACTTCTGTTCTGCGTTTGGGAGCCAGAAACCCCCCCCCCCCAGGTATTGGCTCCGTGCCTGGAGAGAAGGTGGTTTTCCTGTCACACACAGGTGGCCTGGCCTGCTCATTTCGCACTGACTGCAAATGGAAGGTAATACTGCAAGATTATGAGCAGAGTTCAATGGAGAGCCACAATAAGCTGCCTCTAGGCCATCAGTTCACTTCCTACCTTTATATATTCTTTAAATCCCTTTGCCAGAATAAATATGGGGCTCTTAAAGTCTTTCATTCTAGCCTCCTTTGTAGTTTCCCCTCCAAACTGTTGTCTTTCCTCTCTGCACCATATTTTGGTTAGTTTTAGGCAAGGCTCGCAACCAACGACTTGTTGGTCTGGATGAAGTTGCTGGGTACAAGCTGTGTGATGTCCACTTTCAGGTCTTTAATCAGCAAACTGTTTTCACAGGTGAAAGCCGGCTCTGCACCAACCAACATCTGGCTTAGACCGAATGTGACAATTACAGATTTATCAGCCTTTGAGGCATATTTCATAATTAATGTCAATGAAGTGCAATACAGAAAAGAGAAATGCCCATCAGCCTAACGTCTTCAGTATTTTTCTCTCCCTTGACAGCGCCTTTAGTAACAGTTTCCAAGTGTGCCTTATCATACTGTTAAGAAAGATGATGTTTCTCATCCTTTTTGATGAAGCTACACTGCTCGCTGCATTCACAGAAGGGATATTCCATATAGCTGACAAGTCATTAATCCAGTGTTGACAGTGAAGCAGGGCAAATTTAATTCATTCCTTGGAGATTTGAGAGTGACTAATCTCAGGTGCTGACCCCAAATGACAAGTGGCAAGAATCCAGTGGCAGTTTTCAATCTGTTAGCAAATACACACACATATATATATTTTAAAAATCAATAACTGTATTTGGTTCTGAATTTGGCTGGGACAAATGTGTATATTCTGTATTTGGCTGGGGTATATTCATGCTTCTCTGAGCAATTCTGATAGCCTGGATAGCACTCAGCACCTCTGAGCATGTACCCAAAGTTGCACACCATCACTTGGCCCACATGCGACCTAAAAGCAGGAACAAAGAGTTGGTGTAAAGCAGCTGTGAAAAGGCAAATTCTGTGTTAGGGATCATTATGAAAAGGATTAGGGAAATAACCACAGCCAATAATATCAGGGGTAGCCGACCCATGGCTCGCAAGGCATATTTGGTCCCTCAAAGTTTTTGATTTTTGGTGGCCCCTAAAGACCTCTCTAGGGATGCAGGTGGCGCTGTGGGTTAAACCACAGAGCCTAGGACTTGCCGATCAGAAGGTCGGAGGTTCGAATCCCCGTGACGGGGTGAGGTCCTGTTGCTCGGTCCCTGCTCCTGCCAACCTAGCAGTTCGAAAG